ATAAACAGCTCGTTAAAGCCAATATACAAAGTATACCCTATTCGTCATAATACCCCTGTCTCCCTTATATTTTAAAAAGAATTAAAATCTGATTTTTAAAGCTTCATAATTATATTATTACTTAAACAAGCATTAGAAAGAATCATTTTTAGATATTTATTTATTTAAGTTTCAAGTGTATAAGTTAATTTACATGATCTTTTCTAATTAAATATTTTTAAATTTCTTAATAGCTTATTTAAAAAATTTTAAATTATAGTTAGTATGCAATTTACATCTTTTTTTAAATATTATATAGTAGCAATACTTATTTTTTTTATAAATTAATAGAAAGCTCAATAAATTAGTATCAAAATCTTAATATAATAAAATATAAGATATATAAATATCTTTTTAAAATTCTATTTCTTATAAATTTTTTCTAAAGTAATAATTTTTAACAATAATAAATTATAAGAAAACTTTTAAGTTTCCAATAACTATAAATATGATTTTTATATAAGTTATTAAAAGAATTCATAGTTTAAACAAATATATTATATGTATTTTATATTTTTTTTTGAAAAAATTTTTTTATAAAATCTTTAATTATATTTTCAATATTTTTTTATAAAAAGATATAAAATTATATATTTTGTAAAACAGGTCTATAGATCAAATCTATATTTTTTTTCTAAATATTTTTGAATATTCAAAACTTAAATATTATTTAAATCAGAGCATTAACAATTATTGAATACTTTTTATATTTATAATCTTTTTGATTAAATATATATTTAAAAACAATTCTTTGTTTATTATTATTTTTTGTATTTTTGAATCAATAGAAGAGCAATCTTCAGTAATATTATAATTACATTTATTAAGATAATCAATTAGTAAACTAACAAAATCATTTCTAGATATATTGTGATATAATATATTATAAAGATAAGTTATCAAAAAAACATTTGATTTAAAAAACTATTTACTATTAAAAGTAAATGTTTTATTATAATAAGTCTCTTTTAAATTAGAATATTCTGCAATATTATATCAATAACTAATAAAATAAAGTAAATTTTTACAATTTGTTGTAAATTATAATTATATAAATTTATTAAAATATATACTTTATTTTGATTTAACTTTTAATATAATATAATATCTAATATGTTTCATTATTTGTCAAATCAACTAAAGTATAAAAATGTAAAAATGTCATATCAAAGTTTTCAATTGTTATATTTATTCTATAAGTTATTACAGAAGTTGCTATCAAATAGTTAAGATTTACTACTGGCTTATTAATATTAACAAATATATCTTTTTTTTTCAGTTTTGATAATTATTTGAAAAAACACTTATCTTGATATCCTTGAGATTTTAATTTCTTATAAAAAGCTTCTGTTATTTTTATACTAGCAAAATTGAAATATAGACTTTTACTTCTTGTCTCAAAGCTTCAATTAATTTAATATTTCATTTTTTAATATTAATATGTATAAGAGCATAAAATTTATCTTGTATATACTAATTCTATATTATAGTTAAATTTTTAGCATCTATTTTCAAAATATTTTTATAAATGTATAAGCAAGTTTGAATCCAATGTAACATCTAAAGCCAATATCAATATTGCAGATTGGAGCAAAGATTTACAGTATATACAGTATATTATAGCCCAGCTTTGGTTTTTTCATAGTAGATCTACTAAAATTTTGAGTAATAGTTTCAAATTTATCTAGTACTAAGTTCTATGCTTAATTATAAAATAAACTAGACTTGATTGAAAAAAAAACAAATATATCTCTAAATGACTCAGTAACAAGATTATATTTTGAGGAACAAACAAATTGTCTTAGCTAAAGCACAAGACAATCATGGCTCCGTTCTGTTTCACAAGTTTGTAAGACAATTGCCTTATTAACACAAAAGTATCTAGTGCAAAGATATTTTATAAAATTAATGGTAATATTTACTCAAGTCAGATCAAAAATTATTGTATATCAATAGTATTTATTATTTTTATGAAATTTGTGAGGGAGTTTGTATCAATCCCAGGCTTGTGATGTTTCACAATTTGTTCTTGTTCATGCTTCTATTTTTTATTTCTACATGCATGGACCTGTCATGATAACTTTTTTGTGGGTGGTATTTTTTTTTGACATAACAGCTTCTTTTTGTTTGTTGGTCAAGTTCATAGTTACAATAAAATGGTACAGAAAAAAATGATCTAGACCAGGAAATCAAAAACAACACTACTTGACAAGCTATTTCACGAAGTAAGAAGCCTATGTCCTACTCAAGACGAATAGCGTATACTTTGTATATTGGCTTTAACGAGCTGTTTATCCTAAATATTATAGTTTTTACATAAGCTGTTTTATAGGTATATCTGGTTAATTAATATTTTAACGATGAAAGAAAGTAATTTGATTTCAAACTGTTTATTTATTATTGGTTAAACATAACAAGAATGTTAAGCATGAGTATTTTGATGATAGGATTCCAGCATCTTATATTTGTTTACTGTGATGGAAAATTTGGCATAAACATTATAACATATTCATATTAATTTTTTCTAAGAATGAATAGCTGTGATTGAAAAATCATGTAAATGGAACCATGCATGGAAAATGCATCATTCACAATTATAGAATTAATGCTGATATTGACTGCGGAAGAAGATTTCATCACATGATTTACATATCTGAGTCATAAGATCAGCTTGCCGTAACACATAATTTCGCTATCATTCTATCAGGTTTTAATACAACAGACTATACATGTGATAGAAATTGATAAATCCTTGATGCAATTTAATGCAATTATTTGATGCAATTAATTGAGTCACTATTAAAACATATAAAATAATTGAGTTAGACACAATTATTTTTGAGGATTTTGGCAATTGAGTCAACAGCAAAATAATTTACACCACATGTATACAACAGACAGTCCAAATGAAACAAATTTATCTTTGAGTGCAAAAGACATATCTTGCATTGATTGTAAATTCACATTTTTCTGATGTTATCAAAGCCAGATCTTCAATCAATCTTCAAAAGTGTATTGAAAAGCAATGCATCTCTAATATAGTCTCTTAAGAAGTTTGTCAAAACTTTTACTTTGAGAGTGATAATAACTATTTCTTCTGAGATCAGGAAATAAAAATAACATTTTGTATCAGTGATTCTAAATACATGCTTCTACAGTATGAACCTTAACTTGTTACCTTCGGTTTTTGGGGAGTTCTGTGCTCTTTCTTTCTAACAGGCACTAACATTCTTCCAAGAGCAAGTTTTTCCTTCTCAGCTCTTTTTTTAATAAGTGTAAATCGAGTAATAGTAGTGTATAGTAATTTCTGCAAAAAAAAAAAAACGCATGTAAACGTAAGTCATACTTTAAGAGACTCTGAAGATGCTACTAACCTTGATTTGAAGCATTATACGGGATATCTTAATAACTGACTTTAGCTCCTCGTATTTTGTTGGAATGTCGAAATCGGCTAAATTAATTGATGCGTAATAGCCTCTTCCTACATATATAATTAGGATAGCACGCATAGTAAAGTAAGAAGACAAAAAACCGGGCATAAGAAGTTTTGTAATAGCCTGCAGAACCGGCTTTGAAAGCATTCCATTGCCTTCTGCAGATATTACTTCAGCTAGGGACCGGTGCATGTCTCTTAGAATCTTTTGTCCTTTTAAATTATTCGAAATAACCTTGCGTTTGTTTTCAACTTTGGAACCGGCACGTTCGCAAACTGAAAATTCACGACCCCAACTTAAGTCCTTTCCTAAATCGTGTCGCTATAGATTTAGGTTAGTAAATTCTTTAATAATATGAACCCTTAGAGAATTTATCATACCATGAACATCCAGTCGACGTGATATCCTTCCGCATTGCTCGGAGCATCTACCGCATTTGCTCGACGGTCTCGTGAAGCTCTTGATACCACCTCACCGCTTATTTAAGAAAATTATTTAAGCATAATTATAAATAATACAAATATTTGAGAACAATAATGGAACTTACAAATGACTATCCAAAATATCATCGAAACATGAAAAAATATGACGTTTAATAAAGACATCAATGTCCCTCTCTGAGTTTTCTCTATTGGGGATTCCTTTCGCGATCATCTCGCACCTGATGGAAGTTCAAGTAAAAGTATATGAAGTTGCATGTATAATTAAACGCTGAACTATCAAATGAACCTACGTATATCTAATCAAGTCAAAAATGTACGCGACATCTGGATCCAGAAGATCATTAGCATCAAGTAGTGAGATCTCTTCGTGAGAAATTTCAGTATCTTCGTCGATATATCCATCATAAAATAGATCGCCAGCTTCTAAGATAATTGGATTCCTATTACTTATCATTTCTTGGAGTCTAAGAATTGCACCGTGTATTCCCTTCGGTCTTACGGTTTCTCCAATTGTACGGAGTTGATAGCTGTCGAGCTGGGAACCAAAAGAAATGTTAACCCAAAAGAATTGAGATGTTTAAATCGACATTATTCACCTTTGAAAGAGACTTCAGGCATTTTTCCGCTGAAGGTTCCAACACGGTCCAATCCTTTAAAGCAGATGAAAACATCGCGTTCAGATCTGATAGATCTGATTCTGAAAGAAGATCTACAAGTTTAGGATCCGATAAGTCTACGATCTTCCACCAAATTGATCTGAGGAGAGAACTTCGTTAGAACCTACTAACATCAAGAAAAATGGAACCAGTATTTGCCCAAAATTTACTTTAAAGATGATTTATACGTAGTTATTGGTTCATCTTTTGAGATTAACAGACGACGTTCCTCTATCAATTTTTTTAGCCAACTTGGCTGTGGTGTATCAAACTCCCATTCTTCGTCATCCGTAACCTCTGTAACCTCTGAAACCTGTGCATAAATCTGAAAGATAAGAAGACATTTTGTTGCGGGATATATATTAAAACAACGGAGGATACAACTGCCTTGTCTTCTGGAGTTTGCGATGGTTCGTTTTCTGTTTGGCGACATTGACGTTTGTGCGAAGCATCATCTTCGTTTCCCCTGGCTTGATCCTCAGGATATCGTTTGTTAATGGCGGAGGTAACTTCATCTGAACTGCGAAACCTTGCTTCATTAAGGACTCTTACGCCTTCTATTACATAATTTTTCACGGCATTTCTCTATTTTCGGCAGGTTAAGAAATAGTCAATAAAAAATTACTTTTTGAATAATCCTTGAAAAATGTAATGTTAGAATGCTAACCTTTTCACGTTCAAGAATAATGTCTTGAAAAAAAGACTTCATTTGTTGACGTTTATCATTTTCATCCTATAGCAAGTCAGTCGCAATGAGGGAGCACCGAAAACTTCAGCAAAACTTTTGAATCGGACTATATCATGAATATAACTACAACCCAGAAGGGCGCCGAAAACTTCGGCAAAACCTCCAGATCGTACTATATCACAAATATAACTACAACCCAAAAGCGCTCTTACTCATCACTTGGGCGCCGAAAACAACGGCAAAACCTCTGGATCGGACTATACCATAAATATAACTACAATCCAGAAGCACCCTTACATTGATATGTTAATAAAGTTCGCGTGCATGAAACCTTTTCTTACCTTATCGGCATGATATATATACCTCCTATACCATGCACCATCTAAGCCACTCCAGTCATCAGAATATGGTGGCGAAATTATGATTGTTTCTCTTATTTCATTTAAAAAATGTTTGTAAGTCCATGTTTCTCTATCGTTAGTTTTGAAATATTCTATAACAGCTGGAGAAGTCAATGTAAGAGGATCAGTTTATTGCCCGAGAACAAATCTATAAAATCAAGAACTTACCGTCATTTCCAGCATAGGGTTCCATTCTTTTTGGTTTTTTTTTTCGTTTTTGATCCTCGGTTACAGTTTGTAGGTATCGCGTAAATCGCGTAAATATATGTAAAAAAAATAGGAAAAAATCATGTGCGTGTGACGCCGATCACTGCAAATTATAAGCGTTTATATTTGAGTAACACACGTTTAAAAAATTTGAAGTGAAATCTTTATTATTCTTTTCATAAAATAATATGAGGAGGAAAGGCAAAAGAATATGCCTGCTTGTTTAAGCCTGCCGAGCCCTAACCCATATATTGGCAGTTCCTTTCTATTACTCAAAGGTGTAAATGAATGTTATCTATCCAAGCACCTATCTTTTCTAAGTTTTTTTTATTGTATCTTTTCCAATTGAAGTTTAAGAATATAAACCGATACGATAGCACACATCTGACCTAAGAATAATCCCTTGCACCCTTAACCCTATTAATTATGGTCGAAATTGTTACCGAATTACAGAAATGATATTCGCAATCTTTGGCTTGAATCCGAGAAATTTGAAGTCTCGCTTTGCTGGTCAGATCCTCTCCTGTTAACAATCTGGGCAAGGGAGTGTTGTTGATTGATTTCGCTCTGGAGCGTTGTGAACATCCTGCCGACCGATTCGAAATCAGTTACAATTTGACTATAATTATTATGGTAGGTTTCTAGAACTCGCTCGATTTCTTTTGTTATATTTCCCATTTATCATGTTAATCCCCTACCTTGCAAATTTTTATCTAGTATATCGACAACATCGCGCCATTTTTTGTATATCGTCAGGCAATGTTAACTAGTTCATCATATGTCCCGCTGCCATTAAAGAGAACAATATAATCAAGATTTTTTCTTATTAGTTTAGGACAGTCAAAAAAGCTTTGTGTTATGTATATTGAACTGATATTAGCATGTCGTCCTTCATTAAAAATACGGAGCAATTTTATCTTGTATTTTTTTAGGCTCAGTACATACTGTAAATCTTTGAATACAACTACTGTTCCTCTTTTAGGAGAGAAATCATTGGGTTTTGGCATTTTATCAGGCTTCATTGCTCGGAATGTAATATCTTCATGATTTGGTTTTGGACTGTTTGCAATTATTTCATAACAATGTTTCAGATATTTGTATTTTGGCTCATTAATATGATGTCCGATCAAAACTAAATCATTATTCTTAATATACAAATTGGGACAAACCTTATTGCCCTCATAATTCATATAATAAAATTTCATGAAATTTTTTATTTTAAAAATAAATCATATATATTTACACCATTAAGATATCTCATATTTATTTTATACTGTTATTTTCCACCTACTTCATTAAAAAATAAAGTTTAAAATATCTTCACCAAATAACAAAGCATACTTTGGAACCCTTTTACATTTCTAGAACAATAGAACATATAGCCCCAAGAACTTTATTTAAAAACCTACATTCTACTAAAAATTATCAAATACAATTCCAAAAAATTAAAAGAAACAATAAATGTCAAGCAAAAAAAAGGTGGCAGACATTCTAAAAAATAATATCAAAAGTTTCTTAGGCAATTGATCAATATATACAGTATAATCTCTTTATCTCTTCCTAATAAATAACAATAAAATTAATTGAAATAGATATTTATATGTCTTATAAAACTGTTTCAAGGCAAGCCAATGCTTATAGTTAAATATTAAAAAAACTGAATAAAGTGGACTCAAGCTTACCTTAGTAATAAATAAATAAATAAATTTTTTTAAACAAATTATACTTTTAATTGTTCTGAATATAATAATACAATTATATAAGAGGTCTGGCCAATTTCAAAAAACAGAACAAAAATTTTTGTTTAAAGTAGATTTTATATAAAAGAAAAATCAAATCTTTTTTTTTTTTAATAAATAATGACAAGTTTTATTATGTCAAAATTCTTTAAATAAATTTATTAAAAATTTAACAAATACTAAACATGTCTGACATTTTTAGCAAAACAATAAATAATTTCAAGTATATGTACAAAATAACAATTGAATTTTTGAAAACAAATATAATTGAAATTATTAATTATAGTTAAAGATAGGTCCCTAAATTAAAGGCAAGAACATAATTTAAATGTCCTTCACTATTAAAAAAGTTTTTTTAAAAATATAAAATCAAAAAAAAACTACCTACAAAGGTTTTTTGCAATTTAGGCCACTTGATTTAAATGTTTTTTAAATTATGTTTCTATTAAAATAATGAATAAATAATTATGTCTTTTCAAAAGGAACATAATTAATCTGCAAAATTTTATATACTAAATAATTTAAAAACCTATCTTTAATTATAGTTCCAAAAATTGAAATTATATAGACTCATATAGACTTGTATACATATAATCCACTTATTAAATTTACTATAAGAGCTGGAATTGAATAGAATTAAATATAGAATTGTTAGAATTCTTATTATTAATTGATTGTCTAGTAGCTCAAACTTTAACTCTATTAAAAATCTCTAAAGTATAATTAAAAGAAATATAGAAAAACAATAGTCAAAAAATCTTATAAAATTAAAAAGTTTTATAATTTAGAAATAAGTAAGTATTTTAGATTATATTATAAAAAATTTAATTGAATCTATAAATAAATAATATAAATCTATTATTAAAGAAAGGAGAAAATGAATTTTTTTTTTAAGTAAATGACATTCAATACCTGGTTTTTATTGAATCTTATATATTCAAATCATATACTAGTCAAAATCAGATTATTTGACAGTATGCCACTCATCAATCATTCAGCATATGTAGGGCTCCCAACGGTATTACTTCGATATCACTTTGATACCAATTCAATACTTAAATTTATTATAAATTTATATGAGTGAGTTACAACCCATATATTAAATTTATTATAGATCGGTACCATTTCGATATCACTTTGATACCAGTTCGATACTTTTTGGAGCCCTAAGTATATGATAAACAATTTGTAAATAATTCGTTAATAATTTGTTAATAATTTGACATTCCAATTTGGCAATGATTGATGAATTGTTTATTTTTATACCAAATAATTGATGAGTAGCATATTGCCAAATAATCTGATTTCAAACAGTGATATATCTAGACAGTCTTATATATGCTAATATTATTATTAACTATAAGTTTAACTGTAACCAATTCACCTATATAATCCAACTATATGAATTTTATACAAAAAATAGAATCTATATATTAGGTGAAATTATATAAGAAGTAAAAGTCCTGCTATCAGTTTAAACCATTTGACCTGCTAATTTATTTTTATTAAAAGATATCTTTTAGAAATATATATTAAATCATTTTTTTTTATATCATATCTTCGACTCATATAGCTACAGAAGACTTTTAATATATTTATGTAATTCTTAATAAATGCTTTGAAAATAACAATTCTTGATTAATACAAGCTATCAAATTCTAGAGATATAGATGCCAAGTGGACATGACTTCAAAATCTCCTAGTAAATACTTCAAGGGAATTCAATTAGCTTAAGCTATCAAGTCTAAAGATATAAATGCCAAACAGAATGTAACTTCTATATAAGAATAACATTAAAGAGATCATTTATATCATACATTAGTGTTTATATTAATGATTATTTTTAAGATTCTTTACTTTATATTAATATGTTATAGTATAAAGCTTGCCATATCAAGAGGTTATAAGTTTTTATCAAAGTTAAATCAGAAGCCTTTCCTTATGCAATCTTTTCAGGAAAAAATTAATTTTGTATTAATTTAATTAGATATCTTATATGTTTTATTATTATTATTATTATTTTTGCAAATAAGTATTAAATATAGGATTTTTATTAAATTAATATTTATAATTAATATATTAATATCTTTATATATAAGTTAATTATAGCTTATTGTAACTAAATTAATATTGCCAACTATATACTATATGAATGGATTAATACTATTAATTCTAAGTGGCTAATGCTTATTCAAAACAAAGAAATTATTATAGTGAAAAATATGCTTTTATTAATATTTAAATAATTTATTTTTAAAATATTATTATTTTTTGTTTAAAGTAATAATATAAATGCTTTGATTTTCTTCTATTTTATTTCAGTTAAGAAAGAAATAGTTGAAGTTTCTAATTTTTGTTTTTAAACTTTATATAGTATTTTCAGTAATTTGTTAAAAATGTTCTTTTTGTTTTTTCTAATAATATTTTTTTTTTCAACTATTTCTCTGATCCAGCCAGCTCTCTAACAGCTTACGCTGCATGTTTGATATTTCTTCTTGTTTCCCACTTTGGTGGTTCGGTTGTATACCTGATTGGTTGTTGCACAAGTGCCCATAACTTTTGCTTCTTTTGTTGGTTCTATTAATGTCTTTGCTAGCTTCCCATTGCTGGAAACGTTAGCATCTTTTTAACCATAGTTTATGAAGCACCTCTGTCATTCTGCATGTTACCATTCTTAATGTATCCTTTGTTTTCATACCATTTATTTATCCTATTAGCGAGATTAGGTTTTTGCTGAAGATTCCTTTGGTTATATATCTAAGACTCCTTTCTGAATTGGTCACTAACCCTTCGAGCTTGCTTCGCCAATCAAGTTTTCCTTTGGTTTCCGTCCTGCATGAAATTTCTTCTTTTAGAATTTCCAAGAATTCTAATCTGACTTGGTCTGCATAGTGTTCTTTGAATATATGCTCTGTGGTTTCCTGATGAGTGCACCAGGGGCATTTCCCATCTTTGTATAGATCTGGTTTCCTTTTAAATAGCTTGACTTTTGTAAGCAGTTTCTCATTGAGAAGCTTGTATCTGAACGCTCTTGTGTTGTGATCTTGTTAATTGGTAACGAAACTGGTAATCTTTGATGGTGACAGGCTGGCCCATGTCCTTTTCCAATCTATATCTTTTTCATCGCTGGTTCTCAACCATGCCTTGTGCCTCTTTTGAATGGCCCATGTACTAATCCATTTGCTGTTTGCCATTGTTTCATAAATTCACTGATGCCAATATCCAGATCTTCTTTATTCCATTGTAA